AAAAAAAAAAAAAAAAAGTTGACTGTGGAAGTACTGAATAAATTGGAGTAGAACGCTGGATTTAGGAGTACCAGACAGGAAGGAGGTTGAGGTCAGAGATGGCAATAACCTGCTGTGTGTGGAGCAGAGTAGATGCTGTTATTTACCAACTGTCGAGTGCTCATTCCCTGCGGGCTGTGAGATAAGTGCGTGCTTCATCCGGGTCATCTCATTCAATCCTTGTAACCACTTCCTGAAGGTAGCCAGTTATTAACTCAGTTTTACAGAGGAGGAAGCTAAGACTCAGAAGCAGTTAACTTATCCAAAGACTAGCCAGGATGGAGAGGTGCACACAAATTTGAGAGCTCATTTACGATGCAGACTCATTAGAACTGGGCAATAAATTGTACCTGAAAGATGAGTAAAGAGGAGTTAGGGATGGTGATTAAATTGATATTAACTGAGTTAGTGAACTGGGGGTTGCGGGGTGCACATGTGACAGGGGCACCTGGAGGAAGAGTTTGGACCTGCATCCAAATATCTGAGCAGACCATCATGTGCTGTTCGAGTTGGCGATGTTGGAGACAGACCGGTGGAAATGTTCCATATGTTCTTGTGGCTAATGAAATAGTTACCCCAGTCCTCTGCTGCACAACTATTCCTTGTGCATTTTGCCGAATTAGTGGCTTTTATTTTTATATTTCTCCTTGGCAACTAATATAATGGAGGGTGGCTGGCTTATGTTTTGCTACATGTTGGTGATAATTTGTACATAGGGTATAGACTGTTGGCTGGCCCACCTAGTAAGGAGAAAAGGTGACGAGGTGGCAGCTTGTCATGTATGGGAAGATTGGTAATTCTGCCACAAAAGTTCTTCATTTGGAAACTGAGGCTTCAAAAGAACCTTCATAGTCTGCCTTTAATTTATCAGAGAGGGACCCGTCTATATATACGTCTGCTGGTCTTTAGAAATTCTGTAAAGACTTCACATGATGGAAGTCAGGGTGTAGTAGTCCTTTTTTTCTATAAGGAAAACTTAAAAAAAAAAAACCCGGTTTATCATTCTTGACATACCATTAATATTTTGGTGACCAATTCTTTGATTCACCTCTATTCACAGCTTAGCTTATCCTATATCGTTATTCTAAAAACAGGTTTTTAACTTATTCCATATAGAAAATAATCCTGAGGAGGAACTGGCATCAAAACAGAAAAATGAAGAATCAAAAAAGTAAGCTTTCTTATTTACGAAGTTCTGTACTATTCTACTACATTATATCATTTTGTTGCAAATTTAGTTGTGGGAACTCTTGGGGAAAAAAATGAGGCCTTTGTTTTCATTTAGAGGATATAAATGTTTCCAGATTTCCAATCTTAAAAAAAAAAGGAATTTTGTATATTGAGGTATTTTGCTAGGGACTCAAGTGCTTTAAAAAATGGCTTTCAAGGCCTGGTGCAGTGGCTCATGCGTGTAATCCCAGCACTTTGGGAGGCCAAGGTGGGCGGATCATGAGGTCAGGAGATCGAGACCATCCTGGCTAACACGGTGAAACCCCGTCTTTACTAAAAATACAAAAAATTAACCGGGCCTGGTGGCGGGCACCTGTAGTCCCAGCTACTCGGGAGGCTGAGGCAGGAGAATGGCGTGAACCTGGGAGGCGGAGCTTGCAGTGAG